CCCAACACACACACATAGGATTTGGGTTTGTACTGTTTAACTAAAAACTTACGTATACGGGTTGCTTCACTGTTTTTTTTCCCAGAGAAATAAGAGGCACACCACCAAACGAGCGCATGTCTGATAGAAAGACACGTTTATAACCTGAGAATAAAATCTGCAAATCCTTTCAGCAGGCAGACAAGCCATATAGTTTGCACTCCACTGTCAATCTCTTAACTAAAAAAGCTTTCAGTGCACATTCAGTTTTCTTGTTAACAATCACAGGAAGGCTGTATTTTCTACTGATTAGAGTGGTTCACATATCTCAACTTTGCAAGGCAGAAGCAGATTTCACTCCATCCTGTCTAGAAAATGTGTTGGTGACATATTAGCCAGTTGCTTCTGAGCCCAGAACAACTCAGGTCAATTTTTACATTACAGCATGACCAACCTGAAAAACTACTGTCAGGCTGAAGTTGATGAGACCTTAGCTCTGAACAAGCTAACTTAAAAAAAAATCTAAAAAAATCAATTGTACACCACCCTCCCCTGCCTCTTCCCTTCCAACCCACACCCCCACCAAAAAAAACCCCAAACTCTAACTAGATTCAGAAAAAAATTTCATCTCATGACTGAACTCATTATGTTTCCATTACACACCTTCAGCTAGGAAAATATAGTACACCTCTGATGAAAACACACCTCTCTGCTCTTCAAAACCAAGTCACATCTACCCTCTGTTCTCTATAGAGAGCTACACAAATCATACATGGTTGAATTTTTTCAAGAGTACATACTTGCATAATGATTGAGAAATCGGTCTTCTCTCCCAAACATCTCAGAGGGCTTCAGAATTATAGCATCTGGAAATTCTTCCCTCACTGCTTTCTCTCCAACAGCCTATCATTCAATTAAAATGAACACACCCATTAGATCCATTCTGAACAGACCAGAAGAGGATGCCTTTTCACAACTTAATGCATCCTGACTACAGCACTGAAAGAAATGACACCATCAGTACTGTAAAAATTATTTATATCTGATCCATTTCATCTTTGAGATGCTATGCTAAGATAAGGTCTCACAGAATGTCCCAGGAGTCCCGTAAACATGTAGATCATTTCTTCTATCTGAGACACAATACAGACTCACTAGTGAAGTGACAGTTCAAAAAGAAGAAGCCTAAGCGAAGGAGCTCTCTCGCTTATGTCAGACCGGAGCTTGAAAGAAAACAGGTGGTTTACATAACCCATACTACATGATCAGAACTGCTTTATTACAGTTAGGAATTTTAGTGGCAGCTATCTACTTTCCACATAGAACTGGCCAATACAGTAAGGTCTAAGTATCCTACAGAGTTGCTATACATTGAGAGATACCAAATTTTAACCCTGGTTTTAAAATATATTTATACTAAACACAAGGCCGGGTACAGTGAGCTCAGACAAAACAAAAAAAGCTGAAACTGGGAAAATAGCTAAATCAACGAGATAAATACGAGTAATAGAAAATTATACCTAATAAGGAAAAAAAAGAGGATCCCAAAACCAGATTTTTTTGTTGGTTTTTTTGTACAAGAGCAGGTAACAATCCCATTCCAAGGGCCTGTAATCGTGACACTCATCTGTCTTTGCAGCATTCGTAAGGCATCAACTACTTGCTTTACTTGGTCATTCCAGCCTCAGATGTCAAGCCTGATGCTGGATCCCAAACCATCAAACTAGCTGTTCTTTCTTAATAACAGTAGTTTTAGATGAAAAGATATTCAAGGATAGAAGAAAGAAGAGTTTTCAGGAGTACAAGATCTATTTCCCTTCAAAGCACATGAGTACAAAGGAGGATTTCTAGCTCCAACAAACACAGTAAATCAAAAATTCCTCCGCTGCGGCAAACATTCCATAGCAAATCCATACACTGCTTTAAAATACATTCAAAATTATTAGAGACTTACTTTACTCCTGAGGTATTTGGAAGGACTCTTCATGCTAGCATTCAGGTGAGAGACGTGAATGAATGTTTCCACACCAGCTTCCCTAGTTATCTGCGCAATACTTTTCGGAATATTTACAAATACATCTTCAAAACTGAAGTTTCTAAAACAAGGCGAAAACCAAATTTTAATTGAAGAGCAACCAACAGTGGCGGCCTACTAACCAATAGCAATCATTACATATTAATTGAATATATTTCAAAAACCTATCTTCGTTAGAAAGTTGCCCTTCATGAGGGACTCTTCATATAATAAAGACGAGGCAAGTGAAACGCAATACTAAGCTTCAATTACAGCAATAGTACTGTCTCTTTTTTCAAGATTAAACCAGTATGAAAAATCCTCTTGCCCAATTGCCTGTGAAAAATAAAAAATTCTTCTCAAGTGAAAACAGATTTTTTTTTTTGAGAAGTGCTTCATCTCAAAATATGAGCAAAACTGTCTTTTTGCAACACCTGTTCAAAACTGGACTTGATTTCCTGTACTCAATTACACTACAAAGGAGCTCAAAAATTCTGAGCAGCCCAAGTTATAGCAGATGCTAAGCACTAGGAAAGTGGAAAGAAACAGACAAAGGACTCAGAGGTGCTTATGCAAATGGGAAATTTTACATTGACCAAACAATTGGACCATTTCATAGCAGCTGTAAGGGACTTGAAGGAGAAGCACGCAGAAAGAACACCTACAATCATTTTTCAGCATTCAAGGTGCCTAAATTAGGGGGCTCAACTGTAATCTAGTTTGGCATCTGATCAAGAACAACACAGAAGCTCTGTCTCCAAGCAGAACTGACACTACAGGCAGGCAATAACCCCAGAATTCTTTCCAACTATCCCAAGGCTGCAAGAAATAATTGACTTCTCATGTCTTTATATTGTCCTTGTAAGCACCCCACTCCATCTTTTCCATTTGCTCTGGGTAACAAACATCTTGTCCAAATGCCTCTCTCTGTCCTTATCTACTCCCACAGCTCTTGAGATCCCACTGGAGTCTAAAGAAAGCCTTAAAAATAAAGTTATTTTTGACCCTTCAATAACTAATCTGATCCTGGGAACCATCACTCCTGTTCCACTCACAAAAATAGATTCTAGAAACACACAAGAACGAACAACATCCCTCCTGTAACTATGGAGTTTTCAAACAACATAGTATACACAGATGAGACTGTACACAAACACTAGGCAAAGAGGAAAGCATTTAATGGCAGGCTTTACTGTTTTTTTCTCTGACTGATCTCTACTTCTAATTTTACTCTGTTTTTTTCCTGCTTAAGTTTTTCATAGACTTCAGGATGATCACAATGGTTAGTCTGACTTCGTATTTAACAGACCACAGAAATTTATCTCAGGGTTCCAGCACCACCATTGATACCAATCTGGTAAATAAAACACATGTTAAGATCATCTGTGCAGTACAGTGATAAGGGGATTTTTTAATGAATTTCAAAAATAAAATATTTTTTAAAATTATTACAAAAAAATTCCTTATGAAGCTATTAGTGTTTGTGCCAATATTCTATCAAGGAATGATGTTAATCATAACCTTAAGGACCCTTTTTTAGCTATTCCTTTGTATTAACGTTTACCAGAGAATAGGCAAAGCTTGGTCACAGGCCATAGTTGATCGCTATGCCAAAGGGACAGGATGAAAGCCAGCATCTGCAACCACGTGAGTACGCGCTCACGGCAACTGGTGAGCCTCTCTTCAGCTACACGAAGGCACCCACCAAACACCGGTGGTGTGTATGAAAGCAGTACATTGATCTCTAACAGAACAAAAGCTGTACGCTAGAAAACTACAGAACGAATGCACTTTCCAAGTGCAGACCATAACCCGGATTCTAGTCTACCATTTAAAGAAATGGAAGAACTTTTATATTCTGTTTCGCCTTTTCGTACAAGCCAAGAATTATGTCAGCGTGACTGCATACTGTACACAGGCTGTACAATGTAACTACAATGTCCAATACCTGGTACAAACCTCTGTACACAGGAAAAAAAAACCCCAACCGAAAAACCAAAAAGTAAAATTACTTTGTTTCCCATTCCTTTCCAACAAGATTAATGACCACATTGCTGTGCTCCACGGCTCTTCGGATAGAGTCTTTGTCCTTACAATCCCACTCCTGCAACCAGAGCATCAAATGGGAAAAAGATGAGATAATGTGTAAATAAGCATAATCAAACAAAAATCTTTCACACCATTTCCATTTAGAAGCCAAACAACAGCTGAAGTTCTGACTCTGAGAATGATTAACAGAATTCCTTGTATTGCAATCATATTGTATTTGCTCTAAAGCCAAAGCAAAAGACTTACGAGGAAGAGCAGTTGCCCCAGGTCACCCATTGGTCGCAGATACATGAGGTCATACTGATCACAGCGATAGGGTATGATCACTTGAGATCCAATGCGACCTAAGCATTCCCAAAAAAGTTTCATTTAGCTCTACCTGAATTTAAGTAAATGAACTTCTGAATATACAAATCTTCCATTTTTCCCCTGGTGTTAAAGCACAACAAATGCCCATAGGTATCTATTATCTGCAAAATGAAAAGTAGCATAGAGGTAAGTTTTTGAATCAACATCACTGGAATTCTTAAGCAGGGACACACTTGAATATCTGAGCTGGTAAGACAAAATATAGAAACTTGAAAGACAAACAATGTAAGCTTGCTAAAAACCAAACAAACAAAATCACAGTTGTGCTATAAAAATAGTACAATACCTAAAAATGTGTCACATCAAAGGATATTTGCAGTTTTTAAAGTTGCATGGAGATGAGAAAGGAAAAAAAGCAAGTTATTTTCTAAAATTCAAAAAGGCAACTCTAAAGAATTCCAACCAAATTCCTGCAAACATTTTAGTAAAATGTCCTAATAAGGCCAAAACCAGACGACTCAAATACATGCTGTACCTCTCCTCAGATCTGCATCTTACAGACTGGAAAAGCAGTACTTGAAGAAGAACGGTTTATTTTGAGGTCTTTAACCACGTTTTAAAGCTTCTAAATTTCCTAGATGAAAATAGTTTTTACTAACTGTCACATCTCGGCACTTAGGCAACCGAACCCTGCGAAAGTATCACACAAAACACTGACTCGCTTTTAAGATCCAAAATGCCAGAGGTTTCTAGATTATTCTGCAACCTGAAGAAAAACCGGAGTGCCATTAAACACTGAATTTTTTTAATCAGTACTCCTGGGGGATATTACCTAAACGGTTGACAACATAGCGTCCCAGGAAACCTGTAGCCCCAAAGACAGTGGCCACGATGCCACTAACAGAGGATCGTCGACTCTTTCCATGAGGGATCACCGCATGATGAACTTGGCGGTGCTGATGCAACACAGACGGCGCTCCAGCTAACACAGAAATGCCAGGGCCTACAACACAAAATGGGAGAGAGCATGTGATGTAACCTAAAAGTTACCAGCGTCAAACCACCGTTAACGTTATTTTTCTCATTACAGATCTATTTTCTCTAGTCTCCCTCAGAAATTTTTCCCACATCAAGACTCCTGCCAGGCTATTTCAGACATCTGGATAGGTCAGAGGACGGTAGGCTTGAGAGAGCTGTTGATAAAAGTCAAAGACCAAACTAAGACACAAAAGGAGAAGACTAAGGTGACCATTTCCTACTCAGCAAGCAAAGCTTAACTGGCTAGCATTAGTGCTTAATCTACATGGTAGAGCACGGATGCTAAGTAAGTAAAGAGTACTTGCTACAGGCAGGTCCCACCCACGTGCATCCACATCCTGCTCCCAGATCTGGGAACTGCAGGACAAAGACCTCAGAATCACTCCATATGTAGTTAATGAGACTTTTTACCTCAGTCTAAATACAGCAGACCCAAATGCTGGAGGAGGCAACAGTCCCCCTTTATCATAGCTCTGGAGTGAAGGGAAATGAAGATGCAAAGAGCCAGATCCATGATGCAGAGAATATCATCTCAGAGCTGGTCCTTTTCTCAAGAAGCCATGAAAAGTTGAAAGCCAGGGAAACAGGACATCAGTAAAATATTGACATAAACTGACAAGGCAGGGAGTTTGAAGAGAAGAAACATGTCCTCTCCAGCCAAGTTCACCAAAAGGGAGAAATAAACTGCTTGTCAGAGATTTTTGACATTAGAAATGTTTAATGTTACTACGTGTCCACGCTCATAAAAAGGGCACTCAGAGTGCATAAACATACTACAGACACATGGCAGTTGGCAAGAGCAGACTGTAAAAGCTGCCACTGGCAAACTAGCTTGAGGATGTAACAGCAGTCCAGCAACTGACCTTCCCGCTTTCAGTAAGTCATGGCCATAAGTGTTTTCTGGGTAAGAATAAGCAAGTTTAAATTGGAATAAGACACCACATTTCCAATTTTGTCCTGAAAGGTAGTTTGACACCCACTTAACTAAATAATGCAGTCACACATGTACACTTGTGCTTATCAACTATACTATGCCTAGAGACTGCACTCCAATTGGCTGACAGAAACAGGACAAAATAAGATATTACCTATGCAAACTTCAGGTAGGTATACGATTTCCTAAAAAGCAACTGTCCTACAATAGGTCGAAGCTTAAGAACAGTTAAGGTGGCTATGTGTCTTAAAAGTGGCAGGTATGCAGGGCCTCTCCATTACTGAAGCAGGGACCTTAAGACTAACTGTGAGAAAGATGGAAAATACATGCTATGATAAGCACCCAATTAAAAACCAACCAATCAAAACACAACACAAAAACACCCCAACAAAACCATCAAAAGAGATCTTGTCAAAGATCTGCTGGAATTTAATAAAGTACACACTCCAGTGGCATCCAATTAATGTCTAAAAAACTGACATGCAGTTTTAAAAGTGACATAGTCTGTTTATATTAAACTTTCTAATATCTCAAACTAAATTTTATGGAACATGCCAACTCATCACTGCCATATTCACCACTCATCTTCCACCCTCTGCTTTTTCTATCATCATCAGAGGGCAATTTAAGATTGCTCTCTAAAACCTTTATGCATGCCTCTGCAGGATTACAGTGAAGGTGAAGACAGTCATTTCAATGGATTTCTAACATGGCACATCTTAAACCACACTACCCTCACAGCGTTATCTGACACAGACTAGGCAAACATACAGCCCATACTCTTGGCTTTTACATTCAAAACTCTTGGAGGGGGAGGTTGCTTTTTTCCTTTTTCTCTTTATTCTTTTAAACGACAAGAGAACAAACTTGCAATGAAATCAGTAGTGTCTACTACATACTCTGTACAGAATAAAGCCTGTAGCTTTATTGGTACCTGGAAAGTGGAGATTAACCAATCTCAGTACAAGTGCAAGTGAGGGAGCCAGTTGGATCATCTTGTTACCTTCATTCTTGCAGTGTTCCAATAACTAGGGGTTTGTTATTTATTTTTTCAGGAAAAGCAGGCTCACAGAAAAATAACTGGGTTCTTTATAACCAGCAGGATTCATTCAAGTATGCAAAAAAGCTACATGGTATGCCCAGACGGTGTACAAGAAAGGTTGACGATCCATACTCCTCGGTACTTTGTTTACACACGCTTCTCTTTCTCAATGTTTGTAAAAACAAAAAAAAAATTACACAATATTAACACTAGAGATAGTTTTAATTCTGTAAATTTTACATAGCAACACAATCCAGATAGCAACAAGATTTCAGTGCACTGTGAGCACCCATTGGAAAAAGGCATTATTAAAGAGATCAACCCATGTAAGAATGACAAGAAAAAAAAATTTGTAGAGATCTTTCAACTACTTTGTGGCTTTTTTTGCAGTTACTTCTGCAAAAATTATTGCTGACAGGCTCTTCATAATGCTATCACTGTCACACAAATAACAGTCAATTACTGTTTTGTATTCTCCCACCCTTGTGTATACGCCTGCTGTTGTTTGCCTTGCACAGTGAGGTCTTTAGTGGTGTACTTATTCTCTTGTTCCGTAACTCTATGAGATCTGTCACAAATCACCACCATCTATGGCTACATGCCCAATTGCTACTGTATTGTAAAAAAAATTGAGATTTAAGAGTAGAGACTCAAAGACAGCAGGCTAGAGATCTTCACACTGATTCACAACCAGTGAAGGTCACTCCACGTGGTGTGGAGCCCCATCAAAATGCAGCATTTAGTAACTCAGGACAACATAACTTAGTAGAGCCATACAGCTTTCACAGCCCATGCTAGTATCTCCAAACTGCGAAGCACTGCTTAAAGCTTTGTGCTCCTGCGTGATGCAGACTCACACAGAGACGTTTTTCTCAGAACAGTAGAATTTTATCTTCTTCACTAAAGAAAATTTGTCACTGGAAATTTACTTTTACAATCTGCATCTGAAGCTGTTCCTGAACACTAACTTGAGTTAAACCTCAAATATCCACAGTAAACCAGAACCATGTTTTTCTTGAAGAGACATATTGCTCCAATTAAAAGTATGTCAAATTCTTTCCTCACCTTTATCGACCAACAAATCCTGTTTGCCATCTCCCGCTTCACTCAACAGAGGAGCACACACTGGATCAATTGAACTAAAAATCAGTTTCGTTTTGGCAGCAAAGGCCCAAACACAAGCTTTAAACATAATTCTGGTACTTGAGCATGCCTACAGACCATGGCCAAAATGTCAAGGTCACCTAAGAAATCCTGTAAAAGGAATCCTAACTTTTAGCTTGGAGGATAACATTCTTGCTGCTGGGAATCTGACAGTCCACTGAAGCAACCTACTGTGCTATGCCAGTAACCTGAGCCTACCCCACGCAGCCCTTTGGGCTACAAACCCCAGTTCCCGAAAGAGAACGAGGGCAGAAACCCAACCATTTCTGCCAAAACCAGTTATTCAGCCAGCTGCTTTTCAGACGATGCCCCGCCAGCCTCCTCAGCCAGCTCTACTCGGCGGACAGGCTCGGGCAGAGAGCGCAAGAGCAGCCTGGGGCCCCGCGAGGAGCAGCGGCGGCCCCGGCCGCGGCCCCTCCACGGCAGTGACACTCACCTGCCCTTGGCAACAGGAGGCCGC